CACTGTTCAATGGGCAGATTATTTCAGTACAGTGGAACAACTGTTGACGCACTGAGCCCAAGGGGCTTTGCTGTTTGGATATCTTTGTCAGAGAAATTCTTAGAAAAGAGAGTCTCATCACCTCACAGCCTGTAAAAGGAAAAGCTTCCTACATTTGAATATTTGGGGGCGAATAATAGGAGTGTCCAGTCTGATAGCAAAACATGTGCTTTACAGAATATTTAGCAAGATACACAGTTTATGATTTTAAATTGCAGTCCAGTTCACAAACTATATTATTACTAGGGTATATAAAGGAATAGAATGAAAACCTGTAATACCCGACATCCCCACGATGGAGAGAGATCGTCCAGTACAGAAAAAGCCTTACATATAATAATTGCTGAACACCAAAGCAGAAGGCACAGTGCAGGGATCCTTAATATCTTGATCCTTTTACATGAAAAAGGTATTCATTTTATACTAGATCCCTCTTACACATATGACCCTGAAAATTGAGTAAAGGAAAGAGTATTTCAAATACTTCTATGGAGGAAGAATCACAGATACCATGAATTACCTTAAGTTGTGATTTTCTTTAAGTTCTGAATTAGTGGGCTTCAAGTTAATGGGCTTTCACCATCGTTGCAGGCAGTCTGATTACAGTACTTTTAAATTAGCTAATTATACAAATTAGTATGAGGAGAGGGGAGGATGTGCTTGTTTCTGAATCAGCACAATCCTGAAATGGAGCTTCATTATTAATCTAGCTGAAAATCACCCTACACTAGCAGCTCTGCTGCCCAGCTTTACATCTTGTCCTTGAATGTGAGGGCACACACATGACACATAGCACAAGTATATACTCCTTAAAAGAAAAGAGCACAGGTGAGTAAGAGTCTCTCTCAATTATCTCTCTGGGATAAAAGAACAATCTAGAGGCAGTGTTGTTTATTTCTTCTTCTCATGGGATGCTATTTGGTTGTCAAAAGATCAAACTCCAGCCAGCCAGAGAGAAACCATCTGGCTCCATATCCTTAACAGACACTTTCTTGTCCTGAATTCCTTATAGTCAGGCTACAAAAAAGACAATGTCAAACAAATCAGGCAGATTCCTGTTTTTTCAAAGCACCCTAAGGAATTCACACTAATGGCAGTGGGATTGGCAAGTAGAAGTGGAGGCCTCTGGCCTCCAGTTGTTCTATGTTGCATTTTCATCAGCCAGGGCATAATACTGATGCTGTGCACCCACACTGGACACCTGTGTGCTACACTCTTTCTCTTGTGCTTTCATTTTGAAAACCCTGGATGATAGGGAGCAGCAGGGGAGGAGCAATATTGGAATTCTTATTTTAAAACTTCTTAGAAAGTTTTTGGTTGAGAATGAGTGATTTCAAGGATTTTTTAAGCCTTTTCTTTTTTTATAAAAATTATCTACATCACTAGCCCCACCATTACCAAAGTCAACAGTCACAGATCTTTCCACCAAGAACAAAAAAAAAGTCTCAGGAGCACTCAGAATTCCTTCAGCTGCTGATACCTACAGAACAGAATCAAGGCCAAGGGCACTGAATACAAAGGGTGTGTGAGTTAGGGTCCCAGCAGGCAGAGGCCCTCAGGATGGAGCTGCTTTGTCTTTTTCAAAGCCTTTTGTTGGGGGGAAAGATAGCAACATTAGGGGACTCTGACAGCAAATCTCACCTTTCCTCAGTCAGGGATCTGTCATCAGGCTGCCCAGCCCCAGGAGGGGACAGTCTTCCCTTCCGATTGGAATCCTCTTTCCTGGTACAAGTATAGCCACACACCAGCTATTGTTTCAAGCATGTGAGAAAAGGCAATGTGCACAAGTATATACATACACACACACACACCAGTCCAAAAACAACAAAAATGTGGCTACTGTAGCATTAACATTGTATCAAGTCAACATCCATACAAAGACAGAGTTTGAAAGATATGTACAGAGCATTCACATAAGCCAAATGTGCACCACAAAAAATAATGACCATTGTGGACTATGCAATCTTTTTCTACAATATACTGGGGGGAAAAAGATCCCAGAGACCACGGTGGCAACCCCACCCAAAAGAGTGCTGCAAAGCACCTGAACCAGAGAGCACAGGGTCTTATGGAACTGCCTCTCAGTGGGCTCTCCCTACAGACTTGTGCTCAGTGCCTGAAGGACATGTGCCACCCTCCATTGGGCCAGGTTCCTGACTCCAGATCTATTCTGTCTCCACCCAGCTGCAAACTACCTGGCAGCTCTGTAAGAAAGGGCTCAACAGTTGCCAAAGGCAGCAGGCATTCCTTGGCTCTGGTTGATGAGGCCCATGCCTAGCTTCCTGCTCAGTGGAGAGGAGACACCTAGGGGGAAGTGTCTTTTCCCAGGTCACACACAGGCACCTGCCTGAGGAAATGTGGGAAGAGCAGGAACTAGTTCAGAAGATTCAGGCTGTCCCATATCCTCCAACATGGCCAAATAAGATTGACTTCAGCCTCCATTATGGAAAAAGCAGGGGCTTTCTAGGCCAAAAATGCCTTCATGAGGAAGGGTAGGAGTATAGTGCTAGAGACCAAGAGGGAGGAAAAGAGGAAGGAAGGAAAGTTGGAATGCTACCCAGTCAGCACCTCTGGCATCATGGAAGCAGGAAGGGGGCAGAAAGTGTCAACTGGCAGGAGACTGACTTCCCAGACTGAGACTAAACATATATGAAAGCCTCCACTAACACTGGTCCCCTATGACCTCCACATTTCTAGAAGAATCTTCCTAAGGACAAACTTTCTGCACAGACATTAGCTTAATCAGCCTCCAAATAGGCCTGTGAGGTAGGGGGAAGGGTGGAAAACCCCAGCCATAGGTTCAAGTTGTCCAAGCTGGTAGTCTCATTGGGATAAGAACACAAGCCTCCTGATTTGAATCAAGTCTCAGGGCAAGGGTCCAGGACTAAAGGGACCTCCAGATGTCATCTGTAGCTACAAAGCAGGGCTGCATTCAAACAAGAAGGCCTGATGATTGCCTTGGAGAGAAGCTTGTCTTTTCAGTAGATTTTAAACTGCTGTCATTTCCAAGAGACCCTGGCTGTGCACTCTTTTGGGCTCCACAAAAATTTGCTACATTTTTAAAAGCACCACAGAGGAAAAATGGTTTGGCACCAAGGCCAGGAGGATGGACATGGAAGGGTCAGGGAGACGGCATCAACAGTCTTTTGTGTGGTCACTAACAGTTAAAGACAGGTCACCTCTGCCCCACTGCTGTCCAAAAACTCACTGAAATGGAAAGGAACAGCTCCTGAGACACAGGAAGGGGTTACTAAAAATGGACCAGCACCTGGCAATGACAGGGCTAATCCTGGATGGGCCTTCTACCCCAGATCATGGGCTTCCCTATCTCCCTTGCAAAGAAATTTCTGAAAAGGGACACTTAGGATCTTTTCCCCAGAAGGGCACCATTGTTAAGGAGAAATGAGCCATCTAAAGTTCAAGTTCAACTCAACACATGTACTCATGAAAAGGGAAGTATCCCAAAAGTTCAAAACCAGAGAGCACAGTGCTGAGGAGGCCAAGTTCACGAGTTTAATCATGCTATGGGCCAATCAATCTCATGAGGAGAAAACTTCAGCTCTCTGCCCCAGCCTGTACACCAACCATTCAGAGGTCATGGACTCTGCAGGCACAGTTAGCCATATAGGCTGTCCCAGGGTTATGATTGGGCTCATGCCAGTGGGCAGCAGTTTTAACACAACCAGTACACATGTCTGGAGAGTCAAGGCCTGGGAGAGGCTAAATGCACCAGAACCAGAGCTGCCACTCCAGGATGGCAAAATTCAGTCTGGAGGAGGCAGTTCTGCTAAACATATCCCTGCCCCTAATCCTTTACACACCCTGTCCTCCTCCAGGTTGCTCTAGATATTCCTTTTAACCTGGTCAGGAGGGTGGGGTTGGGCATTGGGGGAAAGACGTATCACAGATCTGTGAAGTTGATTTCCCTTGGCCCCGTATAAATAGCCTAGGTTATAATGTCGTATTTTATTATGTTCATTATTTATTTGTTTGTTATAATTCTTTTTGGTTTTTGTTCAGTACTATTTCTTTCCTCAAACTGAAGCCAGGACAGTAAGCACAGGACTGTTGAGGGAAAAGGGTGCTAAAATGCTGTCCTCTCTCCCTCATCTCTGTGGCATAGGCTTCCAGACACAGACAGGTCTCCAGTCAGCTGCTTGGCCCTGGGGTCCAAAGCTATGCACATTCTGGCCATAGTCAACTCCATGGGGTGATTCCTTTGGCATAAGAGAAACCAGTCACTGACAAGAGGACAGAATGGTGGGGCATGGGGGCTTCTGGAAGAGCTGGGCTCTCTAGCCTGTGGCTACTTCCAGGGGTATGCATGTTTCCTACCCCTCTACACCTGTCTCTGACAACTGACTTCCTACAAATCCACAGTTAGGAAATTATTTGGCAACAAGGAGGCTAAGGCTGTTTTGTGGTGGCACAGTTTTTAAAAAGTTAAAAAGAAAATCGGAGAACCCTGAAAGAAGCTTTCATACCAGATAGGACACAAGTCCCACTACTTGTCTGAGTCAGGGTTGGCAGCCACTATCTCCTCATACTTTGGGGGTGGGTCACTATAAGAGACACTTGCTTCCTCACTGCTGCTCTCCTGGGGTGCAGTCACCTCCTCATAGGATGGGGGAGGAGTGGCACTGGATAGTCTGGAGAGAGAGAGCTCAGGAAGGTAGAGGGTGCTCTCAAGGCGGACTGTAGTTCTGCCCCCCCGACTATGCCCCAGCACCATCTGTGGGTTACTCCCTGCCTCTCGGTGCCCAGAAGACTCCCCTTGGTTATGCACAGTGCCCCTGTACACCATGACCCGGGGCAGGCTGTGCCCAGCGCGACTGGCTAGGTACCGGTTCTGAGCATATGAGGGGTGATGACGGGTGGCTTTCTGCAGCTGGCACCTCCAGATGATGAACAAGGCAATAACAACCAGCAACGCCACCCCCAGAAGAGGCACCACCACATACATAGCATCTGAGCTCTGTGCAGGGTCTCGGACTGAGTAGACTGCATTCGGGTACCCCTTCCAGAACTCCATCTGCAAAAGAAAAAGGGCCGCTTACACTTATACACAAGTGCTCATGCCCCAGATGGACCTCAGAGATCTTCCGCAAGGCTGCTTCCCATCTCACCCCATCTGACTTGGCTCTAAGAGCTATCAGAGAGGCTATGGAATGCACCAAGGACAAAGAGCAACATGCCCAAGTGAGCAGACCCCCAGAGTCAGGCAGATGGGACTCTAAAGACATGTTGTCTGTTCTTCTATGGTCCCGACAGCCTTGCCTTGGACTGGACTGACTTTCCTTCATTGCTTCTGATTCATCTGAGGCACCTGGGCCTGCTCTTGTTATTCCTGAGGCTATTTCTGCTCCCAGAACCCAGCCACAGGGCAGTACATGCCGTTTTCTCTTTGTCCTCAAACACCTCCTTGACTTCCTCGTAGCTGCAGATCTCCTCCATGCACTCCCGCTCGATGGTACCCTGGCGCAGCTCCTCCAGGAACTCATTGGCACGAGGGAACCGTTTCAGGACCGAATGGGCATTCTTGGCCTCCAGAAACACTGAGGAGAAAGTTGTACTGAGGCCTGGAATGAGGAGGTGCCCAGTGGCTCCTTCAAACCAGACTCAGCCCAGGCACAGAAGCACAATCATGGAGGGAAGCAAAGCAAAGCCAGCTGGCTAGCCAGCACCCCAGACATGGCTGGCTTTTAGTAACAGAGGTGGAATGGCTGACTTTCTGTGATGCCATGATGTATCTGCCCGGAACACCATGGACCCAACAAGACTCAGGCCCCTGGCGCTATGGAGGAAAATGGGGAGTGCATGTTTTGTAGAAATGATGGACACGAAGGAGTTTAAGTATTGTAGTCATCAGTGAAAAAACACCTAGTATATCCTGCCCCATGTCAAAATGAGAAAATCAGAGCCTTTATCATGAGAGTTTATTCTTTGAGGCTGATGCTGGTGACCAATACAAAATAGCATCATAAGACTCTATTAGGGTGGCTTTCTTCCACCTGAATGACCACCCCTGCCATCAGATTACCTGGCATTAATAGCCTTGCCCAAAACAGTATAGCAGAAACCCAGGCAGGGGTAAATCAGAGGACTGAATGTACAAGAACCTGGGAAGAAGGTAACATGCTTCGTAGGGAGAATCTAAGCCTTTATTGACTATGCACAGATGCCTCTTGGAAAAATGTCATTCAGTGGTAGCCATATCTGCTTATTCCAAAGGGAGAAACCCAGCTACAGTTGAGCTGACTGGCATATTATGAGCAATGCACCTCCATAAGACTGACCTGAGACTTTTGAGAATATAAGAGGTAACATCTGTTCCTGATATTCCCCTAGAGATTAAGACTTCCTAGTTCTCATGTCAACCAGTCCCTCTCATGCCCAGACAGGTGGGACTTTGCCAGCAGGTAGGCACCCTTCTCCAGGCCTCAGGGCTTACCATATTAGTTTATTTCATAGTGGCCTGGATAGGTGCACATCTCCAGGTGAGCATGTGCTCCACAATAGCTAATGGGACAGGGACCACAGGGACACAGTGGGGCAAAGAAAGCTAGGAAGGGCTTGAAAGGCAGATATGCACTTTTTCCATGAGCTCTTAGGCACAGTGCTTGCAACTTGGCCTAGGATCAGAAAAACTCACCTGCCATAGTGCTCCCTCAGATGCAGCCTCTCACTTTCCTGGCAAAGGAGAAAAACAGAGGCACAGTGAAATCACACCCCAGAACCTATAGGGCACCCTCTTGGCCCTAGATGTGAACCATACCCCCACTAGTTTGGCCAAATGTCAAAGCACTACCTTATGAGGCACAGAACTTTCTATACAGCCACTCACAGCTCTGTTGCTTCCCATTCTACCCTGAGCTCTCCTTCAGAGCTGCCCGAGGTCCTGCAGGGTCCAAAGAAAATCTTATAGTTCTTTTCCCCAAGAATATTCTGAGAGTCTAGAAGACCCAGACCTTGACTTTATTTTTTTTTAAGTAAACCTCCTACAGGCTGAGGTTCCTCCTTTGCTTCCTTTAAGGAATCTGTGCACTTTTGAGTTGGAAAGGACCTCAGAGATACTGGGACTTAGGCAAGGCCTAGCAAATAAACAGCAATAGACAGATGACCTACTTTTGCTCACAATGGCAAGTCCCAGATACCTCTAATGACAAGCACATTCCTTGAAAACAGACAGCACATATTTAAGAACCAGTCACTGGCAAAGCTTACCATGGCAACAATAACCATCTCAAAAGTGACCGGCTACATTCATTTTCACCAGACATGGTGGTAAGGATCTCCTGAAACTAGTCATCTCTTCTCTCTTTAAGTTAAAGAAAACTGCAGCAGAATACCAAGACATCAATTGATGTGATCAAAACTGAGATGCTAATTCAATGCAAGTGTTGCCTCTGATGTGAGCTATTGTCTGAAAACTCTGCTCCTGCTCAGAAATTATCCAGCCAGTATGTTAACCCCAGCCACAACACATTGTTCCCTGCAATACATACTCCCACTCACACACATATTCCAGAGCACTAGCCAAACTGTCCACATCTGGGAGCAATCACCTCACTGCTGCCCTCCCCAAGCAGAAGCTCTGGTTTTATGACTAACTCAATGCAGGACCTGTGGATGGTGTAACCCATTGTGCTACCCTTTTGCCTAGGCTGCCAGGAAGTTCAGCATTAACATTGACCATCAAACACAAACACCTTGGACGCCCAGCTGTTAAGCACTTATGTTTCTCCCCTGTGCCATGATATACACTTTTTAATTTTTGTTTTCAGAGTCCTAAGTATACTTAAAATATATTTTCTAATCCGTTTGGCAAACAGAATACAAATCACAAGCAAAACTAAAGCTAAGGAAAAACAGTAAATCTAACATCCATCTATGGAAACACCATGTCGAAAGAGCTTTTCTCTTTTAAATCCCAGAACAATCCCACCCAAAAGTATCAACATGTGAATCTGTCAATGGATAGGCCAGCTATTGTAAAAAAAAGTTGACCTCAATGTTTATGAGAGTGAAGGTGGAATATTAGCTCTAAATTCTGCTTCCATTGTGGGTCTCTGAGGTTCCCCTAGAGCCAGCTCTGGTCATATGACCAGGGTGTGGGTCTAGCATGCCTAACAGCAAGATTTTTGATTGAAGAAAAATGGAGCCTTTGTGCCCGGGTTTGAAAAGAATGAGTAAAGATTTTGCTAATAAGTGAAGACAGAAAAATATGTTTCATTGCTTATCAAAGGAAACTGCAACTTTTTAGAAACAATTATGTGGAAAAATTACATAACTGCTTACATATAGCCACCTTTTGACCCAAAACACTTGCCTTTGGTATGTGCACACCCACACATCTCATATTCCAAAATGTGTACTATTCTGACACCTGCAAAAATCATTAGGTCATTTTTAAGCTTCAAACAAGCCAAGAACTACCCCAAGCAGCTCACAGGGCATAATCCCACTCCATTAACAATTCTGTAGTCAAAGAACTGTGGCTGCTGCTGCTGCTGCTATGAGGCCCCCTCCCCCTCCTTCTCCCAAATGTAGTGCCTGCTTTTTCCCCTATAAATACACCATCGATAGGCTGTTACTATGGCAACAGGGAAGAAGCGTGAGGACTCCATCACAGAGAATGCTGCAGCAGTCACGCATGTATCTGTTCCTCCTGCCCCTGGTGGATACTGTAAGGCTGACTGTAGGCCAAAGAAATTTTTAACCCACTCCCCACAGGAAGACAGCTGAATCCTGAAGGCCTGGGAAGGAAGGCCACCACAGAGACCTTCCTTAACCCCACCCCAGGCTTCTGAATCATAGTGCTGTGGGACATGGCTTCCAAAGTCCCTTGCATGGGGACTGGTGACCATCAGACCTGAAGTCCCAAGACATGGCCTCCAAATCACTTCTCCCAATTCAAGCCCTTTTAATTTCTCTCACTTAGAACTGATTAATAGGAAAGCTCCTATGGTCTCCAAATCTTATGACTCATCAACCCACCCCGTGACTCGGAACTCTCAAATTATGCTCCAACTGAACCTCTGGACCCTCCCAACTGAAACTCTGGACCCTTCTTGTTCCCTTATGCCAGCCCTCAAAGTGCCTGTCTTCGCCCTCCATAACAAGCCACCAGCGCCCTGCCCACGAACTCCTGCTTCTGGCCCAACAACACTCTTCTCCTGGGTCTGTTCCAGATTCCCAACGCCTTGGCCCGGCCAGGCCTCCAGATCCTCCCCCAGTAGCGCCCTGCGCCCGGTTCAGTGGTCCTGGACACCGAACCGTGCCCTCGGGGCTGAGGCGCCCAACCCAAACAGCCTCACCGTTCTCCGGGCCCAGGAGGCCGCCACCCTGTTTGCGCACGCAGCCCGCCACCTCGCTGCTGCGCCTTTTCCAGCAGGGCCCCTGTCCCCGCCCACCTGCTCCCCGTCGGCCAAGCCCCCCAGCCCAGCCCAGCCTCCTCCTCTCTTCCTCACCGCCCGCTGCCCTCCCGCCGCCCTGGGTGCCCCGGTGCCTCCCAGGCTGGAGGTCGAAGTGCACCTGGAGCTCCCGCCCTTCGCAGCCGGGAGCCCAGGCCTGTTACCATAATTACCTCGGTACCCCCCTGCCCTGCTCTCCTTTAGGGGCTCCGCCGTTGCCCGCCCCCCAACACCCCGCCGCACCAAGTCTGGCCTCACGCCCGCGCCAGGCGCGCCACCTTCGAGCGCTACGACAACCGTGACCTGATTGTCAGGCCGCAATCGTCGCGCACCGCGCACCGGGCAGCCAGGCAGAGGATAGGAGAAGGAGTGGGGGCGATGAGAGAGCTCCAAGCAGGGTAGGGAGGGCCGGTGGGTGAGCTGGGCCAGAGGGGCGGCGGCGCGCACCAAGCACTGCGCGCCCGCGCCCCACTCCACCAGCGCCGCCCCTGCCCCCGCCCGTGCAGCCCGGGGTGGTGGGGGCGGGGCCTGGCCCGCTGGCCAGGGTAGCGCCAGCGACCCTTACTTAGCCAAGGGTGCGGGTTCCAGTCCTGCTCCCAGACGCAGGTACTAGGAAACCCAGGTGACAGTGCAGGCGTGAGGGGCCGAGTCCAAGGCCCACACATCAGGCATCCCCACACAGCCCAGCCCCACCCCACAACTGTCCCCCATTGTGGCTCACCTGTCGTTTCAGCCAGCCGTCTTCCAATGCCAGCGAAGAAAAGAGGGGAGTGAGACAACAGCCTGGGTCCGCCTTGCCAGGGCTCCAACGGGCCCCTCAGAAGAAAGGCCAGGTAGATGCCGCCTTCCACCAATGACTGGATGACCTTGGCTTCTTCTTTTATAATCTCCCCACCCTGCCAGGTGATGGCCAGCTTCTCTCCTGTCAAGTCTCCTGTCAAATCTGGGAAATGGGAAGGATACTGCAGCGGGACTGCAGCGAAATAGAGGAAATAGGTTTGGAAAACTCTTCAGGTCAGAAAGGGGAGAAGAAGGAATCTCCTAGGCCTGCATGGGGAGTGCTGGGTGGGTGGGGGAATGGGGACACTCAGGAGGCAGTGCTGTGGGAGGTTCAGCATGACAGGACAAGACACTAGTAATAGAATGATGATACAAGTCTAGGAAGAACCAGGCAATGAGGTGAACTTTTCTAAGAGCGCTCAGGATCTCCTCTGCCAAAGCCTCCTTGGAGGGATCAGGTGTGCCCTGCTGAGTTTTCAGGGCTTTTTTTGTTCTCTGTACCTCTGGAGCCCAGCCAGGCACTGGAGTTGGTGCACCCTCCCTCCCAATTTGGTGCTTTGGAGCAGATTTCAGGCAGAGAAACTCCAACCTGTCCTGTAGCAGGGTGACAGGGAAAATAGAAGTAGGGGAAGATTTCCATCACCTCGAGGCCTGTTCTCACCCAGCTCTCAGGATTAGCAGAAAACAGCCTTGGCTGGGTGAGCTTCTTCACTGCCTCCTCTCCCCCCTCCCCCATTCTCTATAGCACCTTCCCCTCCATTTCTGCTTCCACTTCTCAGAGTCTGCTCCTGGGTTGCTTACTCTTTCATGGCCTCAGGAGCTCCCTCCCTGCCCAGGAAAGACCCTCAGCACCCTCTCCCCATTGAAGGCAGCAGGACTACAAGCCCCTAGCCTGTGAGGTGGGTTCCCCACCCCCCAAAAAAACAACAACAACAAAAAACAGGATCACATGAGAACAAGAATGAGGCTCCTTGGGGGCCCAAACACTGTATATGTCTTTGGCACTCTCAGTTCAGGGGGAGGGAGACTGGGTCATGGCTGATAGGGAAACTGGAAATCTTCAGAAATTTACTTCCTGAAGCCTCTTAGTCCACCACCATGTCCCCATCCTGAAGTTAACAACCACTATATTTACAGGAGACTTCACCTAGCTTTCAGTGTATGAAGCAAGGATCTATTGTTTCTGCCCTCCTCCCAGCCCCCTACCTAAGCTTCTGGCTTCAGTACTACTAGTCTAATAGTTTCCTCTCAGCCCAGAATGCCTTTCCTCCCACTATCATCAGCCTCTTTGTGCTGTATTCATTCTTCCCACGTAGTTCAGATGACATCTCCACTCTGAAGTCTTATGGGATTCTCCACCCCAACCTGTGTTGACTGTTACATTCTCAGTACTCAGTTTGCAGAAACTATAAAGGGGGGGATTCTGTAAATGCCAAGAGTGGGAAGAATATTAACACCTGTGCAACATGCTGCCTGCTTCAATATTTGCTGGTACCACTGATCAACTCTATGACCCTCAGCAGGTGATTTAACTTGACTGCATCTCATTTTCTTCATCTGTTAATTGAGAATGATAATAATAGTACCTGCCTCAAAAGTTGGTGGAGGAGAGCAAGAGGGATAATCACATTAAGTGTGCCTGGTGCTTAGTATGAGCCTAATACAAGTCAGCTTTGGCCATATTCAGATGTATTGTGTTTATTTGGTTGCTCACAGGGTGCACACATGCCTCCTCTACCTTGGAGTCAGAGACCTTGTGTCTTCATATGTCTTTAGCATCATCTGCCGCAAGGTCACTAGATTCTTGCAAAGCTGAGGTGAGAGAGGGTGAGCTAAGGTGTGGAGCTGCAGCAAAGCTCGGCCTTCAATTTAACACCAAGATGTCCCAACAGGTCCCTACTTTCTCTCCATGAGGAGTCTGAATCTTGGCTTCCTCCAGATCTTGGCTTTCTCAGAGGGTTTTCTAACTTCCCTCAGGATGACTTCGGGTACTTGCAGGGATTGTCTGGGGAGGTCTGAAGCCCTTCCTCTTCACCATCTCCCACCCAGCCCCACAAGCTTTAGAGCTTGATTTGAATAATCACCCTCTCAATAAGATGGGAAGGGCTTGGCCACTGACTTATCTGACTTGCCCAGTCAACAGTGTACTTTTTTAAAAACTTTTTAAAAAATTGTATTTATTTTTTAGACAGAGGGGAAAGGAGGGAGAAAGAAACATCCATGTTGGACAGAAACATGGATCCATTGCCTCTTGCAAGCCTTACTCTGGCCCACAAGCCAGGCATGCACCCCGACAGAGAAACAAACCAGTTTGCTTTTCAACCCACTGAGCCACACCAACCAAGGCACTGGTGCACTTTTTTTTTTAAATCAACCAAATCATGGTTACTTTAACCTGCCCTAGGCTACTGGCACAGTTTAGATCTTCACTATCTAAATTCTGGAGAGATATTCTGGTCTTCTTGTGAGCCTTGACTCCTCTCCCCATCTCTGCCACATTCATCATGTACCCTTCTCTTACTCACTGCATTGGCAATCTCAACAAACACACCTTAGTACACATCAAAATCACATGTGTAGGGTACTAAGGATCATTGGAGGTCCCAGGTACAAAAAAAATGTGAAGTACAGTTGCTAATAATTTTAAAAGATGACAAAAGGCAGATCAAATTTCAATAAAAATTCCCAAAACCTGGCCCGCCAGCCAGTGTGGCTCAATTGGTTGTAGCATCATCCTGTAACTAAAAAGTTGCTGATTCAATTTTCAGTCAGGGTACATGCCTAGATTGCAGGTTTGATCACCGATCCAGGCACATAAGATCCCCAGTCAGGGCACATATGGGAGACAACCCATCAATGTTTCTCTGTTGAGCTGATGTTTCTCTACCTCCCTTTTTCGGTCTAAAAAGCAATAAAAATGTCCTTGGGTGAGGATTTTAAAAAATTTCCCAATACAGTGTGAAAGGACAAACCTTCCACCCAACTTTGTTCAAACTTCTACACTGTCTCCATTTCTGATCCAGATCCCATAAGGCAATACCAGCTTCATGAGTGTTGAAACTATAAACTTGGACAGGGCCTAGCACTTGGAATGGTTCCTTGTGTTTGGTTTTAAGGCTTAGCTATTGCCATCTTGAAATTCTTAATACTTTTTGAACAAGAGACTTACATTTTCATTTTGCACTGGACCCTGCAAAATAAGTAGGTGATCTTGCCCATCAGTGATATCCCCAACATCCTTGATCCTGTCCCAGGGTCTCAACAACACTGCCATCCTTCTAACCCTTCTCACCTCCTCTCGTCAAGCCTTGACCAATCTCTCCTTTCCTTACCTCTCAATGCACGAATTGTTCATCTTCCTCTACATGGCCTCTCCCTAACCCCATTCCTGTGTCTCATCCTTTGGCTGAGACAAGTACCCTCTCCCAATGTCAATCACTCCTGGCACCTCACTCTTTACCCAACCCTTATTCACCCCAGAATTGAACCCTTCTATGAGCTCTGTTGCTACCCATCCCCTTATGTCCTCACCAAGCCTCACTCCATCCCTGAGCCTAAACAATGATTCTTATACCATAAGAGCTTCAATTCATCTCTGCAAACTAATTAACCGATTAATCAAGTGTTATGGGCTGAATTGTGCTCCACTTTATTCATGTGTTGAAGTCCTGATCCCCTTACCCTAGAATATTAGAGACAGGGTCTTTATAATAGTAACTAAGGTAAAGCAAGGCCATTTGGGTGGCCCCTACTCCAATATAGCTGATATCCTTATAACAAAATGATATTATGGCACCGACACACAAAGGAAAGATCATGTGAGGACACAGGAGGAAGACAGCCATCTACAAGCCAAGGAGAAAGGCCTCTGAATAAACCAACCATGCTCACACCTTGATCTCAGACTCCTGCAAGATCTCTCCAGAAATGGGAGAAAATAAATGTCTGTTGCTTAAGTCACCTAGTTTTGTAGTACTTTGTATGGCAGCTTGGGCAGAGCATTTACTCAGAGGTACAATGTGCCAGGTATTTTTCTAGGACCCAGGATACCAGAAGCCTACAAAGCAAACAAAAACTCTTATTGTCATGCAGATTAAACAAAGAGACAAAGTCATAAATACAGGATGTTAGGTGATGATCAGTGCTATGAAGAAAATGAAACAGAGAAAGTTATAGGGGTATGGAGTGTTTAAATATGGTGGTAATGGAAGACCCTACTGAGAAGATAGCATTTGAACCAAGGGATAATAATGCTAAAGGGATAGCATCACCCAAAGGAGCTGAGGGGCCATACTGTTCCAGGTTGAGAGATCTAAGTGTGTAAAAGCCCTGGAATCAGAGCCATGCCTAGCACACCCTTGGGTTACCCAGGAAGCTGGTGTGTTGACATGGAAAGAGTTAGAGAGGAAGATGGTGGAAGATATGGCCAGAGAAGCCACAATGGGAGTGGTGAGAGATTCTACAGGGTTTTTGCAGGCCATTGTGAAGACTTTGGCTATTAGAGTGATGTGGAGAGGCATTGAAGGGTCTGAGGTAAGGGGTAACATGATCTGATTTCCATTTTCATATATATGATCAATCTAGTTTCCTTATGAGAGCAATTGAAGAGAGTCAAGGGTAGAAACAGGGAGAGTATTTAGGGACTATTCAAATAATCCAGTCAGAGACAATGGTG